ATGCATTTTGCATATATACATTATGTACTGTTAAATAGAACCAGCTAAAATATTTTTCCTTCCTATTGCAAAAAGTCAGTTAATGCAATTCGCATTCTGACTATTGAAAGACAATTACCCATTACAGGTGAATTAAATAATAAGTAACGAAGCATCCGACAAAGACTATGCATTCGATTTCGTTAAGTTAAATAAAAAAATTCAGAACCCAAAATATATTTGTATTAATTATTCATAATCACACTGGCAAACGTCATCAGTCAAGGGGGTATAGCTCAGTGGTAGAGCGCTCGCTTTGCATGCGAGAGGCCTCGGGTTCGATCCCCGATACCTCCATAAGGTGTTGTTTTGTTTGGGGGGGGGGGTATTTATTTACCTTTGCTTGAAAATCCAAATAGTTGATGGAAAACATTGTACCTTTTGTAACAACAGTGAAGAGACAATTATGCATATTTTTTGTTATTACCCATATTCAAATGTAATATGGTGAAAACCTGAGCAATGGTTTTTCTGTAAGACCAATATAAAGGCCAAACTCACAAACCCCCCAAAAATGTTTGGCTTGGTTGGAGGTCATAACTATTGAAATACAATTACCCATAACAGGTGAATTAAATAATGAGAAACGAGGCACTCAATAAGGACGTTGTATAAATATTTTATTACATCAGGTACATGTTCTTTTAAATTTAGTACGAACAAAAGATTTGTATTAATTATTTACAATCACACTGGCAACCGTCATAAAGAAATTAAGAATATCTGCATTACATGTATACAACTCAAGGGGGTATAGCTCAGTGGTAGAGCGCTCGCTTTGCATGCGAGAGGCCTCGGGTTCGATCCCCGATACCTCCATAAGCCTTTTTTTTTTGGGGGGGGGGGGTAAATAGTGAGAGAGAGGGACGAGATAGAGCGGGGAAGGTAATGTGAGATGCGAAGATGGAGTGGAAAAAACAAGAGTAAGAGAAGGGGATGACAGTTAGAGGGAGGGGAAGAGGGAGGGAGAGGAAAGGATCACGTTAAAGAGACTAATAGTGAGCATGGTGAGAGTAAGAGGGGGAGAAGATAATGCAGAGGCGATGGATTAATGTTGGGATGGGAAGGAGAAGTTTAAGAGTCTAAACAAAATACTTTACAAGAAAGCATTCATTGCTGATATTCCAAATAGTTGCTGCTAAACATTGTACATTTTGTCACAGCAGTGAATAGAAATTATGCATATTTTTTGTTGCTACCCATATTCAAATAAAATAGGGTCAAAACTTGAGCAATGGTTTGTCATTAACCAATATAAAGGCAAAACTCACAAACCAAAATAAATTGACTTAATTGGAGGTTTAAAACAACGCTTTTAATTGTATCTTAATTATTGTTGGTAAAGATTCTATTCAGCCAAATGCAAAAATCAGATACCATTGTTTGAAAAAGTTATATCAGCTGTTAAAACTTATTACGATATGGAATGATATATATTATATAAAAAACAAATCTTAAAGAAAATAATTTCGTGAAAAAAATGGTTTCATTTTACCAACTGTTTCTGAGTGTCTATGTTCAGTTTGCTTGTTTCTTTTTATGTAAAAGAATTTGTGTACAAATTATATTTCGTCAAGTTTAATATTTTATATGCTGAGCGGCCGAAGTCATGGAATAGTGCTTAATATGTCGATCTTTTGTGAAAATATTTATGTTGATAATTGATAAAGGAACCATGCCGGAATCAGGGTAAATAGGCAATTTATTTTCGTGTAGTTCGAATTCTGACTATTGAAATACAATTGCCCATATCAACAGGTGAATTAAATAATTAGTAACGAGGCACTCAACAGAAACGTATTCATTAACTTTTTATTACATTACGTAGATAGCCATTCAAAATTAGAGCAAACTATAATTGTATTGATTATTCGTAATCACACTGGCAACGGCTATGAAATTTCATTGAATACGGTTATATTTGTCACCACATTATTTCAGTTAAGGGGGTATAGCTCAGTGGTAGAGCGCTCGCTTTGCATGTGAGAGGCCTCGGGTTCGATCCCCGATACCTCCAGACCATTATTTTGTGGTTAAGTTTTATACTTTTTATACTTACACGTCGTGGTTTTTGTTCAACACTACTCAGCACATGTGTTTCCTTCTCTCTCTTTTTTGTTAAAACTGAAAGTAATAATATCATATAATTACACTACATTAGATTGGATATTTTTTTTCTCATAAATTACGATCATTTTGGTCGAAGGGACATCACCGGAAAAGTTTAATAGCAATTCAGTTCATTGTCAATTTCGTTTACAAGAAGTATGATTACAATATTCATAACACGCGGGTATTTTGCAAATTGAATGCAAATAGTTCGAAGCTTTGTGACGTTGAACTTCTGCTCGGTGACCCAAATTACGAGGTACCCAGGGGCTCTTGACTGTGTACTTTAGAGTGCAAATTACGCAAATCCTTATCATTCACGTATTGGGACGATAGACTAGTCTACACATCCATGCTTCTGATACAATCATTCTCATCGAGCTACCTGTACATGATTTAGGCTTGGGATCCACAATAATATTAATAATAATTATCATCATCATCATCATAATAATAATAATAATAATAATAATCATAATAATAATCATAATAATAATAATAACAATAATAATAATAATAGTTATAATAAAACGATGCTTAGCGTTTTCTATCGAAATCTCAAAGTGCTATACATAATTATTAAACAAAAATTTACAAATAAACTACAAATGACAAAACATATGACATTTACATCAAGCAACTTTGAATAAATATGTCTTATGAGACAAGTTTTAAATTGGTTGATATTCGGAGAGTTTTTGACATGTAAAGGTACCCTCTCTCTAAAAAAGAGTACATTTTCACTCTATTTTAACTTTCTTGGGAGTGACGTCAGGGATCACTTGTTTAGGAGTGAATATCGATTGATTTTTGAGTGCTCTCTAAGAAGAAAAGGGTGAATGTTCACTCTATTTTTCACTGGATTAGTTCTTGCAGGTAAATTGGAGCCAAATCGTGAATACATTTATAAATGACTTCAATGGCATCGACATTCCTCAAACTGTCACTGATCTGGGGCCAGTTTCATAAAACTTGTTATCTATAACAACTGATAAATTTCTATGACAAATTTGCTCTCAGCCAATCAGATGCCTTGATTTCAGTAGCTTATAACAGTAACTTGTAACTTGTTATTGATAACAAGTTTTATGAAACAGGGCCCTGGTCTACTTTGATATAAGAAAAAAATTATGCAAGGTGAAGTTCTTGCTTAACCACTCTCAGTTTCGAGCTTCATGAGAACCACGTAGTGGTTCCTCTTTCTCAATTTGTTTTCATCACGAGTTGTCTCCGCTTTATATGAGGAAACTCCTTTAAATAACATAAACATGTCACATGTTATGGCCAAAATGGAACGTAGATCATATTTCTTTTTTAATTACCACGTAAATTAGGCCTATGCATTTCCCTACCCCCCCCCATCAATCAGACTAAGCAAAGGTATATATCAGTAACCACTTAAAATATTATAAGACCAGCATATCGCATTATCACCAGCCTTGAATCACTTTTCATGTCTCATTTCATTCATTTAATTTGGATTCTTTCAATTGAAATCACCCATAACAGGTGAATTAAATAATGACTTTTAAGGATTCACTCAAAATCATAGGCATATTATGCATTTAATTTGATTACATTACGTAAATGGCCTTTTAAACTAAGAACCAAATATATAATTTGTGTTATTTGTAATTACACTGGCAACCACCATTATCAAACAACACCATATCTGCCGACTCACGAAACCACTCAAGGGGGTATAGCTCAGTGGTAGAGCGCTCGCTTTGCATGTGAGAGGCCTCGGGTTCGATCCCCGATACCTCCATAAGAGTTTTTTGGTCTCCTTTTTGAAAGTACTTCTTCGAATGGAATCATAGAAATAATTTTGTCTAAGTGGCTCCCCTTTCCGTTTGCGTGCTCGCCCTATGTTGATATCTGTGGGAAATGTGTATATTTTGGAACTCGACCAACTATACATTAACTCGTAAGTTAAAAAGTTCACGACGAACTTTCAACAAATTCTATACATTACAATATTTACAAACACAGGAAATGGCTGTTCAATAATACACGTGAGTACTTCCTTCCATTTAGAAGTAGGGTAGGTCTATGTGTAAAAAATAACAATAGCGAATCTATGATGACTATATGTTAGTATAATGACGTCATGAGTGGCGTATTTGAAAATTGATAAACGGTGGGAGGAGAGGGAGGGGAGGGAAGGGGAGGGATCCGTCTCAGGAAGGGGGTGGGGCTATATGAAAATTCAAATTCAAATTCAAATTTTATTGATTAAAATCCAAACAAATGGGATCATTCTCAATTTGCTTGATAACATTGGATAACGAGTTGCAAAATTATAGTGTAACATAGATAATTGAGTGCAAAAGTAAAGATTACAATAACCAGGAATAACAACAAATGACGTTCTACTGCATGTCTCTTCTTGAATATAGTCCAGGGATGGAAATCCTTGTTATGTATGTACATGATAGCAGTGGGGAAAAGAGGGGGGAGGTAGGGGGCGCGCCGGATTCACTCTATAACACTGACCATTATGAAAAATATATATATATTTTTTTCTTTCAACAAAAGTGTCTACACGCTACTAATAGTAGTAGTAGTACAGTAATAGTAGTAGTAGGGTTGTTGTTATTGTTATATTTTGTATTGTTCGTAAAGCGGCGGAAAAATATGGAGATAACTTAAACGTATATAAATTATACAAAATCATTCATGTGTGGATCTAAGCCGAATGCATTGTATTGCAGACATGCTTGTCCAAGTTACTAACGTGTCTGAGATGAGACTATTCATATCAGTCTAAAGTCCACTTGGCAATGATTTTGTTTTGAAAACTGTATTTACCTCGCGCGATCATTGTATTCATTGTAACCAAATACTTTTGATAAGGCAGTTTCGAATTCATATCGACACAAATAACCGGTGATTTATTCATTATTGAAAGAGTTTTGATTTAGGTGGTTCAATGAGTATAAATATAAAGTCAAGCATCGGAGTATCAATTATATATTTCGATTAGTTGCCTGCCTTCTCGGTGGCCTGTTTGCTTTAAAAATTGGCGATCAAAACTTTCAATCGAATACGCATCTTATTTGAAAAGCATTTCGTCTTGCAGGGACTGAGATTCATTGTAAAGAATTGATAAGATGGGACGGGGAAAGTTCTGGGGCACTCTGCTGCTATGTTCGCTGACATCTCTCCTGGTGTTTCCAGCGGTGCCGGCGGCAGCGGGCCAGGGAACCACTGGAAAGAGTAGAGCATCGCAGCCAGGAGCTTGGAGGGATTCCATATTGACCAGAGGGGTAAATGGCGGGACCGCTTGCGCTGGTAAGTGGTAGAATGGTATGGTGGTAGAATGGTATGGTGGTAGAGTGGTGTGGTGGTAGAATGGTGTGGTGGTAGAATGGTATGGTGGTATAATGGTATGGTGGTATAATGGTGTGGTGGTAGAATGGTATGGTGGTAGAATGGTATGGTGGTGGTACAATGGTATGGTGGTAGAATGGTATGGTGGTAGAATGGTGTGGTGGTAGAATGGTATGATGGTAGAATGGTATGGTGGTAGAATGGTATTGTGGTAGAATGGTATGGTGGTAGGATGGTATGGTGGTAGAATGATGTGGTGGTAGAATGGTTTGGTGGTAGAATGGTATGGTAGTAGAATTGTATGGTGGTAGAATGGTATCGTGGTAGAATTGTATGGTGGTAGAATGGTATCGTGGTAGAATTGTATGGTGGTAGAATGATGTGTTGGTAGAATGGTGTGGTGATAGAATGGTATGATGGTAGAATGGTATGATGGTAGAATTGTGTGGTGGTAGAATGGTTTGGTGGTAGAATGGTGTGGTGGTAGAATGGTATGGTGGTAGAATGGTATGGTGGTAGAATGGTATGGTGGTAGAATGGTATGATGGTAGAATGGTATGGTGGTAGAATGGTATTGTGGTAGAATGGTATGGTGGTAGGATGGTGTGGTGGTAGAATGGTATGGTGATAGAATGGTGTGGTGGTAGAATGGTATGGCGATAGTGTGGTATGATGGTAGAATGGTATGTTGGTAGAATTGTTTAGTGGTAGAATTTTTAGCCAAATATTACTTATTTTCTTTAAAGAATGCTTTAAATGTAAAATGCTTTTCGATTTTGTTTATACCTGTAGCAATAAATTCGTCAGAAGACTTCTATAAAACGTATAAAACGTTTTCAGACTGGGATTGCCATCTTGATATTTACATCAAAAAGTGAAATGTTTGTCAAGGAATGTAAGAAAATTAAATGTGGAAGAGGCTTGACTTCTAGGTTCGGTAATTCCAAATAAAATCTTTTCACATGAAAGAAAGCAACCAGGATTGAAATTCGTGTGCCCTTATAAGTAGTCCGTTCCAGAAAGCAATTTTTGTTTGGAAATATGAAAAATAAATTATCTGTAAAGTTGCCTCGTGTGAAAATTGCGGAACGAAGAGAGTGAATTATATTACTTCCCTTTACATGTTAGCCATTCATCAGTTGGTTACGAGTTATTCAAAATGGTAAGGTGCGTAATGCGAAGTCTGGCGTCAATATTTATATCGCTTGCTGGAAGAGCGAATAAATTACACAATTGTTGCTCTAGCACATTATACTGTTGGTTTAGACGGGTAAATACTTGAGAAAATCCTGGGTAATATAATCTTACAAAAATACCGTAAAGTTGCATCCTTGTTATATCAACGATTTGTTTTCATTTTGACACACATAAGATAGAAGGAAATTTGGTTTTTGATCCGTACGCACAGAATGATAATTTTGCTGCAAAAGAAATGCTTCCATGCTCCTGGGATTTTTTGTATAACAATCTAACAATGCAAAATACTTTGTGTGAATTTTAGTCTATTTTCTTTACGGTCTTTCCAACGTAGGGGACGTCCAAACTCATCTAACATATACGCAATTTTAACAAATATTTTTCTTGTATTTCTAATTTAAATATAGATTTAAATTTTTCATCTAATGTTATTCATTTCTTATATTCCAAATAATTTGGTTGGCACTATTTCTTTTTCTATTCACCGAAAAGACACCATGTTTCTATTACTTCCCTAAACCATTGGTATACTTTAATCTTCAAAAAATTCACATCAAAATAACAACTGAAATGATATTCCCCAACTACTGGTGACAATACTTCTATACATATGGATGTCCAAACTGTAGAGCTTGATGTAAATAATCTTGTTACACATTTAATTTTGTGAGCTTGCAGAATCGATTTAATACAAATCATCTTTAGACCTCCCTCTCTATAATCTTCCTCCCACGCTCTGCGTTTTATTTTGTCTGGACTTCCCCATACGAATTCGTACAATATATTGTTAACTTTATGGATGAAATAATCGGGAATTGAAACTATGCCGGCTACATAATTATGACACCTGAGATAAATTAAAGTTTTTGACTGTTTGAGTATTTCTGTATAGTGAGAGATTTCTGGGTTTCACATGTTCAGTTGAGATTTTGTTATATTTGAAAGAATTCTTTAGAGTTGTGCCATCCTATTTTCAAAAATGTGGTTATCATTTTCATTACAACATATTATGTGGAAATTGTAATCGTTTGGGCTCTGTTGATACCTTTAATCGCCTGACTAGGAAATGCTGAGCCTAGGTTTCCGTGAGGAAGCATTCAGTGATCTCGTGATTTGTTTTGTTAAATGAGTTTTAATGAATGTCCCCATAAAGCAAACGTATGTGCAACAAGAAAAATCTTTATAAACAATTGTACTTGTTGGGAACATGTGTAGTATAAAAGTGGTGATCAGGGCCCCGTCTGATCAATAGTTGCGATTAATCGTAACTCATTTGCGATTGATCGCAACTTTGAATAAAAGATGGGATACTGTAAACCTGCGTTTTATGTCGGATCACCTTCTTGTTCTAAATCTCTACCTTTTCAGTATGCTCTGTATTTTGTCCCTCAAATCTATTTAAAGAGATGTCATACAATTTAATACGTAATATACATATTTCAAGTTCATGGGTCACATTACACGTAAAGAAGGCCTAGATAATCTTGCTTTGACAGGGAAAATTGTGGGAAGAAGGAGTAGGGGAAGAAGGAGGATACTTTGGATGGACAGTCTGCAAAAATTGTTGGAAGAGAGAGTAGTGAAAGAACTGGGAGTGGTACTAATACAGAAGGCTAGGAGCCGAGGGTTGTGGAACAGCATGATCGCCAAAGTCAAACGATATGGCACTTAGAGAGAGAGAATATACATATATAAAATAGATAAATAAATAAATAAGTAGATAGATAAATAAATAAATAGTAGATATATAAATAATTAAATAACTAATTTAATCACCTGAACGGCGGTAAGAATAGAATAGTAAATGTTCATGCATGACATTTTACAATAATCATATACGTGTTGCTAGTTTGCACCGGACTTTGTTAACTGTTATCCGAGTTCGAGAGGGTGTTATTAACTACGATATCTACCGTATCTATCTTATCAATGACATACATCTAGGTCTAATTAGAAACACCGCTGATAATTCTGTTGTAATCAGCGATATTAATCTCGAGTAATTTCAAGTCAAGAGTAAATTACACCAAGACTTCGACCTATGAACGTATCATCATAATCTAAAAATCTCATTCTAAAATTAAAACGGGTGTGCAACAATATGATATGGGCCCAGATCCTCAATTGGATCTAGTAAAGGGGGTACATTTGCACCCCTGGATAAACAATGACCACATTTTAGGAGTACAAAAATCCCAGGATTTCGGAGCAATGTGGGGGCCGGGGGGTAGGGGGTGGGGCGGGTTGCCCATTGATAATGATTCCGGAAATAAAACTTGGGGATTCGCTCCCTCCTTTTCAGACAGTTCTGGATGCGCCCCTGAGACCTGTCAACAATCTGTCTAAGAGAAGATTTTCGCCATCCATTTTCGCTGTCCATCATCTCACTTTCGAACAATAAATTTTAGCTCACTTGAAATGTAGCACCCGTGACTGGCGATAAAGAACATCTTATGTCAATTTAGCAGAGATCAGAACAATTTATGTCAAAGAAGCCAAAACGAATGGGCATTAACCTTGGTACATTACCTAGAAGAAGAATAAGAAGCAAGTTTTAACGGGTTTTTTTTTTATTGATGTTATGAAACTGTTTATCACTATTAACTGTTATGAAACTGATTTTAACTGCTCAGGCATTAAATATAAAGTTGAGTGTTGGTCACGCGACTGGATCAATTTAGCGCAGCTATATATTAAGAAAGGTTTGATAATTGATTATGCAAATGTGCAGACTCATTGGTGTATCCTGTTCAGTCTTGGAATCATCGAATTGATTAGAAATGGACTCATCATTGCTGAAAATAATATTTACTGTACAGTGAAATTAGCATATGGGACTACACATAGTTACATATGGCATGAATGTTTGGGCCAAACATTTAAGCTATGGTTAATCATATTTCGAATACTATAAAGAAATGTTTTTCAGGGGACGTTTTAACTGCGATATTCTTCCGGACTGGCATAACCAGAATGACAAAGCTTACACATTATTTTTAGGTTTACCAGAACTTAAAGGCCCACTGCACTACTTGTAGGTACTTGCGCCCTCTATATAACAAACAATGCCTAATCGGTGACCATTAGTCCCCCATGATCCTCTTTTTCTTATGTTAACTGAGAGCTGAGTTGATGAGATAACCACCTGTCCAGTGACCTTGCAGGGCAGTCTAATCCCTCCTGTAAACTACGGCAGATAAGCTTTAACCTTCTCTTTATTAAAATGGATTTTAATATGATAATATAAATGAATAGATGACTGACTGAATAAATGAATGAATGTGTAAGATATTCAAAATGTCATGTCACTGTTTGTTTAGCCTGATTCAATCTTAATCTATTAAAAAATATATATATATATATGTGGCTTTTTCATCCATAGTAATGAGTATGTTATTATATAAATGATTGTAGGATTATAGATGAACTGATATGCACCTTTAAGAATGAATCTTGAAAGTCAGAAAGTGTGATGAAATGTGGTATTTCTTTTTATTCTCTATGACCCTTCTCTCTCTCCCTCTCTCTCTTTCTCTCTCTCTCTCTCTCTCTCTCTCTCTCTCTTTCTTCCCCTTTTTCTCTCTCTATCCCTCTCTCTCCCATTTTCCTTTTCTTTCTTTCCCTCTCATCCTCCTCTATCTCCCCCTCTCTCCCTCTCTTTCATTCCGTCTCCCTGTTTCACCCTCTCTCGCTCTCTCTCCCCCTCTCTCTCTCTCCGACTCTCTCCACCTTCCAGCGTGTTCAATCTTGGTATCCCTATCCGAGCAGATAGCCGAGATTCATAATGAAACCATAGTTCAAGGAATCAAAAGGATATGCTCCTACCTGCCAGGTAAGCATACCCAGTTGCCCACAAAGTTAAAGTAGATTGTTCTTGTTTCTTCCATAAACTGATTGAGACAATATGATTTATCCTTGATGTATAAAGTAACCGTATAGATCAATCTATATGACTATCTAGAGTTTAGACTAATCAATAAAGTTCTGAGAAAATATAAACTTTATATTTAAAAAATAAATTGTATCGTAACAATCATGTCATGAAAAGAGGTTTAAAAATAAAATATTGCATGGGAAACATTGTAGGCCTAAATTGTAATAAAGCTATATAAACAAATCTGTCAGTTTGCCTCTTCTGACAGATTTTTGACCCCAAAAAGAAAATTCAGGCATAGTAGTTTGGGAATTTATTATATTCGTAAGATTGCGATTGAAAACACCTGAAATATATATATTTTAAAACACCATAATGATCGTCACAAAACAGTAATGTTTAATATTTTTTTCGAGAAGGACCCCCCCCCCCCTCCTCCCGTGCTTAACTAAATGCCTTATTATAAGCCCTGGTATTCCGCCCCTCCTGAGGGCAAGTTCTGGATACGCCACTGCTCTGGAGTCTTTACAAAGACAATACACAAAAGAGAATTCCAACCTACTGTGTCTTTTCCAAACCGTACAGGTTCGGAGAAAAGATGTATTGTTGTTGCTGATGGTAATTTCATGTATTTATTTCATCTATCACCAACATCACAGCCCTCATCGGATATATCATTATTTTTGTTTTACCGGGATTTCAAAAGGCCAATGAAATGCTTCTGAAACGGACGCTATTTATCGTTCAGTCAACATACAACCCTCGAAAGACTGCAATAGTGATAATTCCATTGGTCTTGACTTTGAAACTGAACTTACTAGTCGTTATATACAATTATTAATGATTTTTAATGTTTTTTTCAGTCTGAAACATACCTTTCTCGTTACTTTTCGTTTGAATGCTGTATAATCGTACTCTGAATTATACTTATTTGATAGACTGAGAAGTAGTAAGGATTGATTTGTTTTTTTCTTTTACTTAAATGATAATGATGTTCTATGATCAATTGTCAATAACAGACACATTTCAGACGACTTGCAACAACTTCGTGGAAATAGCAACACCGATCCTGATAGAGATGTAAGTTGAAACCTTTAATTCTCAATGCGATGTTTTGCTTCTATTCTCGAATGTTTATATAACTGTTGGGGGAAGGGGGGGGGGGGGGTAAGAATCTCCATCGGTATTCGTGTTAACGTATTAATAAGTACGGATTTTCGTGCCAGATTTTAATTTTTCAGTACATCTACTTATGAACCAGCGGATTTTCTACCGAGGGTCTGACTCCCCCCCCCCCCCCACCTCCCCCTTCCTGCAAAAAAAAAAAAAAAAGGATTCTCACAAATTTAGTTGCATTACCAGGGGCGAATGAACACACATTTTATGCACTTTCTTTTCTTCCTTTGTGTACATACATGTCGGCGCCAGAAGCGGGGGGGGGGGGGGGGGCGGGGGGGGGGGCAGGGTTGGGGGTGGGGGCGGGGGGAAACGCATTTTCGCCCCCCCCCCGAAACGCCCCCTTCCTTTTATCCCTGGACCCGCCAATGCTACCCCCTTTCTTCATGCGATTGAATATATTTTGATCTTGAAGGGCCTTCGATGAGTTCATCACACCAGATGTGGCTTGTCGGCTTCTCAACCTCTGCTATACGGATCCCGGGAAGCAGACCTGCCACATCTCTGCCCTGCCGAGCGCTGGGATGGAGCGGGCCGTGGAGAAAGCGAGAAGGAGACTGAAGCACTATAAAAGAACCGTGAGTACTTATAGTTTTTGTTTCCTGTTTAAATGTTTCCATGGAATGTGTCCATCCATTTAATTTAAAGTTTAATTAGAGTATACACCGAATGTGTGTAGTCGTGCACCGGCACCGCGAAATCGACTTTAGTAGGCCATTTCCTTGAATGTAACCAATTTTTTAAGTGCCTCATTGCGAATTATTTCATTCACCTGTTACAAATAATTGTATTTCAATAGTCAGAATGCAAATTGCACAATTCCATATTTTAGGTAGGGCAAGCCATTTTGTTTGTATTACATAGTAACAACATATGTATGCAATTCGCATTCCGACTATTGAAATACAATTATTCGTAACAGGTGAATGAATTAATACGTATCAAGGCACTTCACTGAGACGTATGTATTACATTTTGTTAGATTACGAAAATAGCCTACCAAAATCGAATCCTAATTGAACGATTCTTCCCTCTATTCGGAATTTGAGGGCTTTGTTGTCAATAGGCCATTTTTGTATTGAATCACATTTATGCAAACTTCTTTGTGCAGTGCCCCTTACAAGTTACAATGTATTCCATTCACCTGTTGATAATAATTGTAACTCAATAATCAGAATTCGCTACAATAGTGCAATCTGCATTCTGACTATTGAAATTCAATTGTTCATAACAGGTGAATGAAATACGCATTAAATTTGATTGCATTACGAAACTGGCCGACTTGGTGTTGGTTTTCATGTAAATTAGGACATAATATATTATCAGTCGTGCACCTCTGAAGGCAGGGATGGGGGCTTGTGGGACGTAAACTTGTAAGCCTTTACTACTATCAAAAAGGGCAAAAGGAAAGACCGACCGAGAGAGAGAGAGGGAGGGAGAGAGATGATTATTAGGGACTTTTAGATTTGCACGTGGACAAAGTGGTCTGCTAAGTAGCAGTCCACTATGTCGACGTGCAAATCTAAAAATCCCTAATAATACGAAGACGATGAATCAGAAGAAGAAGAAGGCGACGACGAAGAAGAAGAAGAAAAAGAAGAAGAAGGTGAAGAAGAAGTAGAAGAGAACGAGAAGACGAGGACTTAAAAAGAAGAAGAACAAGAAGAGAGAGAGAGAGAGAGAGGGGGAGGAAAGAGAGAGAGAGAGAGAGAGAGAGAGAGAGAGAGATGGAAAATGAAGGAAGGGAGAGGAAAGGTTAACCTTGAGCCCCTTCCCAGATTTGGTAGTGTTCCTCTTAGCCTCTCTGAAAATACCATGATCCCTTGCATTCTTGTCCTCCTCGGACAGCGCCCCTTTTCATAACTATGCCTCCAAAATATTACCGTTTACATTCATTTCTCTCTAGTTTCAGATGAAGCCCGTCGGGATTGATTGCGCGGTACTACCTATCTTCAAGGAGCTATGCGAACTCCTTAAAACGTAAGATTTCAACAAATCGTTGTTCAGATTAAACACCATTTTCCCAAATATTAATTTGATATATTACAGATAAAGTATTCCTAATACCGTTATTATCATTGTAATTTTTGTTTTCAGGATAAATATGTAAAATCGATGTATTGACACATAAAAGTTGTTTTTTTAAGCAGTAAATTCTCCGTAGGGACATTTTCTACAATGGTGGATCGAGAATTTTACAACGTAGGGAGGGGCTCAACATTGTTTTTCAGTTTTAGTCGAACCCTATTCCCCATTATGGCTCAGCCTCTGAAATAAATCAACCAAGACGACATGACTTTGTCCTTTTAAATGAATGATATTGACGTTGTATTATCATTAATGATGAAGGTTTTCGTATAAATAATACATCTATTGTAGATTTTTGAAATAGTAAGACTAAATCTTCTCATTGGCTTTAAAATAGGAGTTTCGGAGATAATCATCTTCCGATTGTAGATGTTGACCAGGACAGATACAGCGTGTATAAGGTAAGCTACTCATTTACAAGAAACTTGCACATTTTTTTCGATGAAGATGGTAAGGATGATAATGGCGTTGGTGGCGGTGGTGATAATGATGTTGATGATGATGTTTATGATGATGATGATGTAATGATGATGATGATGATGATTAAAATGATGATAATGTCGATGGTGATGATGATGATTATAATGATGATGATACTGTCGATGGTGATGATGATGATTATAATGATGATGATACTGTCGATGGTGATGATAATGATGATCATAATAATAATGGTAATTATAATGACTATAATAATACATTTAAAATAAATAATAACAACAACAATAATAACAAAAAGAGCAATAAGTAAATGGCTATTATTTCATCTGTTGTGTTAAAGTTTAATGAGTTAACTCCCTTCTAGCTTTCAGCAGACGATGTATTAGAAAAAGGAAGTGTGACGCCGAAATATGAATCAATTATATATCAATCGAGCAATGATATTTCTGTTCATTTATAATACCAATAACAGACACTTCGAGGTTCGCATTGGAGAGGGAAAGACTGTTCAGATTTTCAATCTGATCTTCACCCGGGCATCAAGTAAGTAAAACCCATATTTGTTGTAATCATTTATTTTAATAAAAACTGTTATTTATCAATTTGATATTTGTGTAAATTTATATATATATATATATATGTATATTGATTGACTGATTGGTCAATCAGTTTATTCTTTTTTCATTTATTTATTTATTCATTCATTATTTTGTGTTTATTAGTTGTTTATTCATTTACTAACTTAGTTAGTTAATTTAATAATGATTTAGTTATTATCTATCCATTCGTTCATTGAACATGACGAACATTAAACACATTTCATTTCAATTCAATCAATCGGGCAAAAGTTGTCAATTTGTTTCTTCATGATTTGCTATGCTGTATTTATCTGACCAAACTCGATCACGTTTACAATGATATTACCGCCATCATAATGGGTACGATGTTGACGATGATGAAAAAGATGGTGATGATTGTGATGATGATGATGACAATGACGATGATGTCAATGTTGAAGGTGATCATGACGATGATGATGGAAACGATGGTGACGATGATAAAAACGATGGTGATGATTATGATGACGATGACAATGACGTCGTTGTTAAAGATGATGATAACGAACATGATGAAAATGATAGTGAAGATGATGACGCTTTCGACACCGATGAAGATATTGATGGTTTCGACGACTGTGTTATGGGCACTGGTATGGCACACGATCGCTCAATGTTCCCCTCGCTGGTGACATGATAATGACGATGATATTGTAGATGATGCAAGTGTTGAAGATGATGACGATGATGACGATGATGACGAAAACGAGAAGGAGGTTGTTGAATGACGATGGTGTTGAATATAATGACGATGGTTACGATGAGGACGACAATGATGACGATGTTGACGATGATGAGGGTAACGGTGATCATAGTCTGAAGCTATTGTGTATTTTTCTTTTCGTTAATCTTGATCATAACAGAGCCCTTAAACAAGACGAGGTATTGGATTCAAACTGCAACGGGATATATGTGAGTTTTTCTTTGCATTCGTAATTTGTTCGATCTTAAACCTCTCCTTCGTTTGTCTCTATAAAAGTTGACATTTTTGTTTTCAATAGCAAAATATATACCACCCCTTTAGAGAAAACAGACTATTTTGGAAAAGATTTGAGGTTGAATATCTTTGTATGTTCGAATTGACTGTTTGCTTTACAACAGCAATAAAAATCCCTTTATGTTATAATTTAATTTGTTTAGAAATTTGATCGTGAGATTATATGTCTGGTCATTGTACGACAATTATTTGATGATAATTTATGAATGTTTCTGTACTTGATCAAGAAGGGATGTTTTTAAAACTATGCATATTTTGTTTTAAATTCATCTCAAAGCAATTTACGTGTATCATGTGTTTTTGATAAACTGATCTCAGATTCACTTTTATTTATCGACCAAAATCTCTCCCTCCGTCTCTCATGGTAAAGTTGTTTCCACTTTTGCATTAGAGCCCTCTCCCTTTTGGTCACTCAATTATGAGACTGTGACATTTTCATGCACTTTGAATTCCTTTACTTTTCACCTTTACTTGTGCTCCCTCTTTGAGGTAATCCTGTATTTTGCACTTTGATGTGTGCCTTTCCTTTCGGGTTGTACTCTTGTTTGATGCTTACCAGGTTGAAAAAATGAAAGTTTTGACACATTTTTCACATGATTTGACATTGAAAAGTGAAGAGAATAAATTTTGCGGGGAATAATCCATTCCCTATAAAAATTACTATGATACAGTAATCCACTTTTATTCCCTCTCCAAATTTGAAAAAGTGTCCTCTTTAACATAATACTAGACAACCCCTAATGTGACCAACATAGTGAAGCAAATGTAAAAAATTGTTTTTCCTTCTACAGTACTTGAAAGATCAAACTTTTTTTTTCACTTAATCTTATCACACATTGTTCTATTTTGGTATTAGTACTTAGATAATATATTTATGAAAGTAATTTAACAGTTTGTATGTTGATATAAACAGCGATATTTTTTTAAATAATTTTTCTCAATGGAATTTATTGGGCATCATAGTCATTTTCTCCAGAAAATATGACCATAACATGGTAAAGTTGTTTCACAGGAACCAGTCAATTCTACAGTTTTCTTCAATGTCATTGCTCATTTATATAGAAAATATCAATCATATAGCCTCAACAAAAAAAATTACCCTAAAAAACAACAATTTTGACTCTAAAACTCTAACCCTAATCGTGTTACTTGAAAATTTCGCCTTTGTTTTCTATTGTTTAGTTCACTATTTTGGTAAAATGTGTGCCAGATAAAAATGACAGTAAAATGCAAATAATACAGGGAAATGCCCTATTATCAAGATTTCCTATATTTTTGAATATCAACATTTAATGAAAATGATCATCCCATCCTCCTAAAGCTTAAAAGTAGTAGAGAAAATATGTTCTCACTTTTTCATTTTTTAAAGTCCCCAAAAATAATTATAGCGCCCTCTACTGCCACCAAAAGTTTTCTAAAGTAATGCCTTCTACTTTTTGTATTAACTATTCTTTTATTCTTATAATGTGTGTAAATAACACCAGTCAATAATACTACATGCTGCATTTAGTAGTAACATGTGTATCATTTTCATAGCATTGAATTTTTCATTATTCAAGATTGATAATAATCACATCTACAAACAGTTTTAATCTCTTTTATTTAAAAAAATACATGTAATTTAAACAATTTCTCATACGGTGATAGTTTTCTATCCCTTATTTTTTTTCCCCTTCAAAGCAAGCATTATGCTTTATAATAACTACTGGACACCCATGGCTTTTAAATACTGTATAGCGGAACTTGAAATTGAGGAATAATGCCTTTTAAAAAACGGCAGTGAAGCTAGAGGGGGCAGAGAGGGAGCCTGTGCCCCCCCCCTTCTCGTCCTATGCCACTACAAAAGTACAATTAACATACAGATTCAGTTTGCAACCCAAAATCTGAGTTATTTGTACGCTATATAAATTCAGTATTATTATAATTATTATTATTATTTGAACACTGTTCAGCCACTGATCCATCAAGCCCCAAATAATGTAGGCCCAATGTTCATTTCTGTTAGTAATGTACCAATCAATAATAGTTGATAAAAACATTTCAAAATCTTTATCTGCATAATTACATTATTTCCTCTTTGATGACCCCCCCCCCCCCCCCCCACATAGTCTTTACAAAAAATCACGACTTTTGTTGTTGTTTTGTTCCTGTCACATAATGTTCTTGAAGGTATATCTGCTTATTTGCATCTTATATGTATGCCTAACAACCAATAAGGAGGGCAACAGAAATGAATATTTATCACCACTATTGGTTGTTGTTCTTGTTGATATTTCATTATGTATCACACTGTTAATGTTTGATTTTATGTTCCTGGAAATCATATTAATAATTAAGTAAACTAAATCAATCAATCAATCAATCAATCAAAATCATCATCACCCTCATAATTATCATTATCTATTAGATTATCTGATCAACAGCATATCTCAACAAATGAGATATGTCGATTAAGAGATTTGATTTGTATTGTAACTTGAAAAACCATTCTGCTAAATAATAGTACACCATGCAAATGCAATGTTTGGTGAAATTTTCATCTTCAACACACAATCAACATGAGCATCATCTTCACGATCATCAGATTATCACAATCATTCCCATCACCATAGCCATCTTCACTACCAACACTTATGTCATCATAAACGACATTAGGATATGTAGAACAAGTATATACAAAAGATGTTATATTTGTTTAAACATATTGCATTGTGTAATGTTTTTAATGGTTGAATGACAAACAAAAATATATAACAGTATAAAGCGGTCACAGTCATAACTTTTTAGACAGTTTTCATATTAAGCATAACAAAAACAAGGGTTAACAATGTAGCCGAAAAAACCCACAGAGCTTTACCAAAAATGTTCATTTACATTCACAGTAACGAAAGAAACAGAATCTGTTTTTTGCGGTTATTTGAGATTTAATAGAGGATGTTTTCTTGTTACCCTGAATATCAACATCATGACAATAACAACAATTACAACACAAACTTTCCCAACTGAATATAATAATAATATCAAATATTTAGGAGCGCTAAAAAAAATAAGTACCATAGCGCTTACAAATACATATATATATGAAAAGAGGACAACAAAATGTTCTCACATGAAGTAGATCCCATAGATCACTGGGGAAAAGGGTAAGTTTTGAGGGATCTTTTGAAGGTGGCAAGACAGGTAATTTCCCTTATAGAAAGAGGGATGTTGTTCCAAGTCTTTAATGCAGCTACTGCAAAACGTTTTCAGCTGTTGAGAGTCTAGATTTGGGAATGACAAGTTTACATGCGTCGGCTGCTGAGCAAAGATTCCGAGATGGTGTAATGTGTATATATACAAGGATAAACCGTTGTCGTACTTTGACTTTACATGTTACACTGCTACAATCCACCCCTAGGAAGGACCCAGGTATTAATTTTTTGATCCATTTATACAAGTATCTGCATATGCATACATTGGAGCATGGAGCTACCATGTCCAACTCTAAGTACTCTCTGCATCGTGGCCACCAACAGACAAGACTTTTGTACACACCCCCCCCCCCCTGGCCATAAAAAAGGCGACACTACTCCGTGCATTGAACAGGCGAACAGTATTACTTTCTTGCCCGGACCAGGGAATACAGGTTATACATGTACATAACCCCCCCCCCCCCCTTGCATAGAAGGCAAATAGGTCCCTGCATTGAACAGGCAAACAGATGAAAATACAATGCCATTTTATTTTGTTGACAAGCGACAGATTCCTTAGTGTTACATGATTAATTGTTTGTAGAAAGCCTTCGCTGAGCATCCTAGGGGTCCTTCCCTAGACATCGGGTCATACACAGCATTGGTCTATAAGGAATAGAAAATGAATTATATGTTAATTTCAATTTATCCACCATATAAAAAATGTACTTCTATGATTCAATTATATGTATTATTTTGTTCATATAATGGCGAGTTTGACCTCATTCCAAGTAGCAACAGCTAACTATGAAATGGACTTGAAGGGTGTTTTACAAAGAGTTAAGTTTGACTTAAAGTCATACGTAAGGGCCAATTTGCATACGTTATTAAACGCAAAATCTCATTGGTAGATTAGGCAACTAGGACTTTAAGTGCCACTTTAAAGGTAAATGTCCCATTTGCAGGCCAAATAAATGAAAAGATTAAATTCCAATGGCATTTGGAAGATATTACTAATTTATAACTTCTGTCAAAAGTAAAGGGCTTGAAAATGCCTTTTTGTGGGAAAATAACGACGATTAGTTGTCAAATCGACATTAGAGATTGCAATCACTGAAGTAAATTGTCTAATTTTCAGACCCTTGTACCGAATGGTCATATAATTTGTGCTGCACAGAGACCAGATCAGTTTAATTTTGGACATTATAAGAAGTGGGTTATTGATGTAGACAAATGCTGCATGTTACAGCTCATTTATGTACTATGTTATTACCAAAGAAAAAAGAAGTCAGTCTGATCAGTCACTCAATGGTGTCCGACAGTGAAGTCTATAAAGTAAACGGGTTTCCTTACATAATTTGAATACTAGGACTTTGCTAACGTTTAAATTTCACATATAGGACATACTGTACATGCCATATTCATGATTCCTGCAATGTTCTACATAATTGATGTTGGTTGCAAAAGGGACACATAAGTCAAACTTAACTCTTTGGGAAACACACCCCTGATATTGTATAGGAGGCAGTCATAGTAGACCAGTTTAAAAACAGACTGAAAATTCACTTTTACTAAAGTGCATAGGGACTGAAAAGTGATATGAGCTATACAAATACAGTTTATTATTATCATTATCTATGCATCTAATACTTCACATAATTTAGCTGTAGTATATGACAATTATTATGCTTACCAATGCTCGAAATGGCCTTTTCTTCATCTTGGACGCATTTGAAAGGGCAGCCTGTAAAATGAGCTTGATCATTGTCTGCTCTCCATCTGGTTAGAGGAGTCTACGCTGACACGTTGTGTGCTGAAAGAAATGTGGAAAATATAATTTCTTACTCCTCAAAAAATAGATTTCTGTTTCTTTCCAATACTTAAAGGGATCCGGTAACTTTGTCTCAGATTCTGAAACAAAATCCTGGAATTAGCTCATGCTGCAATGATAATTATAAACCTTTAG